GAGAGGAATGGGAATCCTATAACACTTGATTGTGATTATGTGAAACCTATACTTGGTCGAGGAGGCAGTTGTCAGAACAGAGCAAAGAAACACTTCATGGTTCAAAATTGGGGAGAGTGTATGCTAGGAATGTGTCCTATCACCATACTTATTCAACCTATATGCAGAACAGATCATCTGGAAGGCTGGCTCTATGAGGAGGAAGGTGGCATCAGGATTGGAGGAAGACTCATCAACAACCTGTGTTATGCAGATGAAACAGCCTTGCTTGCTAAAACTGAGGAGGGTCTGAAGCAGTTGCTGCAGGTCAAGGACTGCAGCCTTCAATAAGGATTGAAGCTCATCATCAAGAAGACAAAGATTCTCACCACTGGGCTGATTTGCAGCATCATGACAGATGGTAAAGATACTGAGATTGTTAACAGCTTCAGTTTGCTTGGCTCCACAATCAACACTCTTGGTACCAGCAGCCAGGAAATCAAGATGAATTGCACTGGGAAAGCCTGCTATCAGGGACCTCACTAGAGTACTGAAGAGCAATGATGTCAGTCTTGAGACTAAGGTGCACCTGATCCAGGCCATAGTCTTTGTAGTTACTTACTATGCATCAGAAAGCTGGACAGTGACTAGGGATGCTAGAAGGAGAATTGATGTCTTTGAGCTGTGGTGCTGGAGAAGAATTTTGAACATACCATGAACTGCTAGAAGAACAAACAGTTTTATTCTGGAGAGGGTGAGACAAGGCAAGGATTCTGAAGCTCTGTCTGACATCCTTTGGGTATGTTGCAAGGAAGGACCAGTCCTTGGAGAAGGGGTATCATGCTTGGGAGGGGGGAGAGATGGCGCAGGAGAGGAAGACCCCAGATGAGATAGATTGACTCAGTGACATGGGTATTGGTGGTAGATATGTCAGAGGCAATGCATTTGGCTCAGGATAGAACACGGTTCAGGCCCTAGAAGTCCTAATCCACAACATGAACAGTCTTCCAAGCATCCTGAATAATCTACAACCAGAGAGGATACAATAGATGAATGGGACCTTCGAAGAATCAAATCCCTATGCACATCCAAAAACTTCTCCAATAGGGTAAAAATGGAAGCCACAGATTGGGAAAAAATATTTGGTAATGACATGTCTGGTAAGGAACTTATATCTAGAATTTATACAATACTTGAGCACCACAACAAGATAAAGGTAAACAACCCAGTTGCAAAATGGGCACAGGATATGAACAGACACTTCACGAAAGAAGACATTCAGATGGTACACAAACACATGAAGAAATGTTCAAAATCCCTAGCTCTAAGAGAGATGCAAATCAAAACAGCTATGAGATATCATCTCACCCCAGTAAGAATAGCAAAATTTAATAGAACAACAAACAACAAATGTTGGCAATGTTGTGGAGAAACTGGAACCCTTATTCACTGTTGGTGGGAGTGTAAAATGGTGCAACCATTATGGAAGTCTGTATGAAGCTTTCTCAAAAAGTTGCAAATAAAAAGACCATTTAACCCAGCAATTCCTCTACTGGGAATATACCCTAAAGAAACCATAACTGACACCCAAATAGATACATGCACACCTATGTTTATTTCGACTTTGTTCACAGTAGCAAAGAGTTGGAAACAACCCAAGTGCCCATCAACAAATGAATGGATAGAGAAGCTGTGGTATGTTCACACAGTGGAATACTATGCTGCATTGAAAAACAGGAACTGATTAAAAATTTCACAAAATGGGTGACTTTGGAGGACATTATGCTGAGTGAAATATCTTAGTCACAAACGGACAAATACAGCATAATACCACTGTTAAAAAGGAGGACTTAAGGGTTGAAGGGAGACTAAGAAAGATGGGATAAATAATGTATACTGCATTGAAACAGATGTGGGAGAGAACTGTTTAAAAGGAATATATGATTAGGTATTATTGTCATGACGGGAGTCCAGAATGAAGGCTGCACAGTGGAGTGGACTTGTGGGGAGGGATTATATAACAATGAAAGAGTTTTTTCTTTTACTTTTCAAAAAGAAAATCAAATTGAGGGGAAGGGGTGGGCAGGAAGAAAAGTGCAACAATAAATAAATGGACATGAAAAGTCTCTGTAAACTTTCATTAAAATAAAATAAAAAACAATAAAAGGACAGGGTTCAGAGCTGTTGTATATAGGGTCACTCTGAGTCACAAGCAACTCGATGGCACATAACAATGACATAAGTGATTGAAAGAAAACCAATTAAAAAAGATGTTGTGTGCTCACTTTGGCAGCACATATACTAAAATTGGAACGATACAGAGAAGATTGACATGGCCCCTTTGTAAGGATGACACGCAAATTCGTGAAGTGTTCCGTATTTTTTGAGGGAGAGAACAGTTTAAAAGTAATATATTTTAGGGCATTATGATTATCATAAGAGTTCAGAATGAGGTTTGCAGAGTGGAGTATACTCGGGGTGGGGGTGTGCGGGTGGGATTGTATACCAATGAAGGAGTTATTTCTTTTGCTTTTCAAGGAGAAGAGCGAACTGGGGGTGAGGGTGCGGTGGGTGGGGAGAAAAGTGCAACAGTGAATGAATGGAAATCCAAAATCTCTGTAAATGTTCATTGAAATTAATTTTTAAAAAGGTGTTGTAGGTCATATGTGCAATTTTCTTCAGCTTACTATGTACAAAATATTATTATTTCAATGTTAATCTATGTTTTAAAGATTATTAAGATAATTTGCATTTTCCCCCACACTAAGTCTTCAGAATCTAACATATATGCATCTCAGTTCAGACTAGTTACATTGCAAGTGCTCAGTGGCCACATGTGGATAATTGACTGCTATGTTGGACAGTGCAGGTCTAAACTGTGCAGGATCAGATCCAGTGGTACTAGAAACTATTCACATTGCTGCTCGGGTGATTAAGCACACAGCTTTTGGGTAAGCAGCATTTTAATATCCACAGAATACTTCTGTATCTATTATCTCATTTGATGCTCAAAATACTCCTTTCACATATTGCTGTAATTATTTTTTATTAGTCTCATTTAAAGAAGGGATAATTGAAGCTCAAAGATGTTAGTGACTAGTCCAAGTTTGCATACTTAGTGAATGATGGGGCTGGGATTAAACATCTGTTCCCTTCTTACATCTTCAACTGGAGGTTTGGCTTTGAGGTGGCAGGGGTGGGGGGTGGTTCCCCTCACAATAACACATGGCATCTGGATGAATTAATCTCTGAGACTGTAACATGTTTGAGATACGGTACACCTGGATAAGGTGAAAGATGTGAAAAAGAAAGATAAGGACATCAGTGTTCAAGAATGACTCATCTGAATTGTATGACTTACTGACTAATGGCCTCGGAAGAGGACTCTGTTTTTCATCCATGCTAACTAGAAGAGAAGGTATCTGAGATGGGGATATTGGAAGACAGTCACTTGGGGAGAAGGTCTAAGTTTGGTTTGGATATGTGCTAGAGCTGATGCAGCGAAATCTGACCTCGGGAAAACTCAGATTCTCTTAGACAAAGAGTCAGTCACCTGCTCTCACACCTGAACCCCATGTCTGGTGCTAGAAGCGTTGCTTGCTGAACCTCGCTTTCCCTGATCCGTTTTTCATACAGCTTTTCCACTGTTAATATAAATTTGGACTAGGGGTGGTTTTTATTCTTGATATTTTATTGTCCTTAGGTGACATTTGCACAGTGAACTAGTTTCCCATTTAACAATTTTTATACAAATTATTCTTTGACATTGGTTATAATTTTCACATGGGTACTTATGCTCATTATTTCCATTCTGTTCTGTTGGGCTAGTATTATGGAATTTTTAAAATGAGACATTTTATTTGCTAAATCATAACAATAAAAATCACTTAGTAATATGAATAATTCTTTTATCTCTGTTATGATGTTATCTTTCCAAAGCATTTTTACATATTGTTCTCACACTAGGATAGAATGTAGGCAAAGTGGGTGTCACCCTATTTTATAGATGAAGTAGCAGACAGCATCTCAGAGCTGGTAAGTAGTAGAATCAGGTCTCGGCTCTTTTCCTCCTGGCCCTTCTATTCCTAGACCCTTCTCTGAGGGTCTTATATATACTGAGCATAGCAGGTCAGGAAGCAAAGAGAAAAGTGGGCAGTTAGAATCCAGATGTTTGAGTTACTCTGAGGGAGAAAGATTGACAGTCTACTCTTCCATAAAATTTATAGCCTCAAAAACTAGTTGAAGGGTCACTGTGAGTCATAAAGGACTCGATGGCGGTATATTTGGATTTTATTGTGGCACAGTGTGTGGTGTGGTGGTCAAGTGCTTTATGAGAGAAAGGGGAGCCGGTCTGCTCCCATATACATCCACAGCCTCATTCAGTCATTGTGGTACATTCAAATAGTGGGACACTATGCAGCACTCGGGAGCAATGATTTCATAAAATGCTATATAATATGGGAGAGTTTAGAAAACGTTATGTGTTGTGAACTAAGAGTCTAGAGAGAATTATGCTGAGTGAACTAACTCAGTCTCATAAGGACAAATTCTGCATAGGATCATTGTTGTAAAAATAGGAGAACTCATAAGATATGTATGGAAGTCGAAAGGGAGAGGGAGGTAGGGGGTTGAGGGTGGGGAAAGGGGGAAATCATGGGGTTGCAGAGTTTGGTGGGTGAAGGAATTAGGAAAGATCTGATGGAGACCAGAAAAGATGGAATAATAGTGAGCATAGATAAATGGTGACATATTTTATAAAACACAATGTGTAGGAATGATCATGTGAAACACAGTGTGAATGAAGGAATGTGTAAAACACAGTGCACTTGAATGAAACATAATGTATATTAGTTTTGTATGCAAACCAGTATAAATTTAAAAAGAAAAAAAACTAAACTCCCAACCCCAAAAAAATGAGTCACAGCCTTAGAACCCCAATGAAGGGTTGCTGTGAGTCTGAATTGGGCTTGGGGGTTTTATTTTCCAAGGGCCATTGCTGATGGATAGTTCCTCCCCAACAGGCAGAGAAAAGATGAACTAGAACAAAGAATGTCAGCACTCCAGGAGAGCAGGCGGGAGCTGATGGTTCAGCTGGAGGGGCTCATGAAGTTGCTGAAGGTAAGGACCCAAGCCCTCGGCTCCCTGGTTCATTCTCCGTATCCTCCTCCACTTCTGCCGCCCACATGACGTTGAAATATGGTGAGGCTGAAGACGTGAGAGGCCGCGCCCAGGTAACCGCCATAAATTTAGCCTAAGTCATCTAAATTAATGTAAAAGTGGATTATTAAAAAATTAGTAACTGGAAACAGGGTAACATCCTTAGATGGTTGCTGTTATGAAGAGATAAGAATGTTTTAATAGGTTATTAATTAGGTTATTATGTGTAAGTGAATAATACTTCTTTACTACTTAGTTTCTCTTGAGACAAGTTTTCAAATATTTTCAAATATTCCACCTAAATACCTAATGCATATTAAGTTTCCTACTTTAATAAGTACTGCAGAGGCAAATCAACCTAATCAAGACCCACTCAGCTAATTCTAATCAGTGACTTGACTTTATTAGAAATGAAATAGTAGCTCTAGATTTGTTATATTGGGGACCTGAATAAATAAGGAATAATTCAAGTGCAGCCAGAGTGCTCCTTGGAGGCAAGGATGGTGAAGCTTCGTTTCTCATGCTTTAGACATGTAGATAAGACACTATTCCTTCAAGGGGAACCTCGTGCTTGGAAAGGTGAAGGGTCAGCGAAAGAGAGGAAGCCCCTCAATGAGATGGATTGGCACAGTGACTGCAGCAGCGGGCTCCAGTGTGTCAGAGATGATGAGGACGGCACAGGACAGGACAGGGTTCAGATCCGTTGTTCATAGGGTCATATGAGTCGTATTCAATTTGACAGCATCTAACAACAACACTGCTATTTTTCTTGAAAATGTTATTATAACCCTTGGGAATCCCAGAGTTTAGGGGGCCTTCCTTCATGGTTCAGCGGTAGAATTCATACTTCTCTTAGTCCATAGGAAGTTGCTCTGTGAACCTAGTGACATCTTCCAGGCGGTTCAAATCTGCCATCAACTCTGCAGGGGAGAGATGGGCAATCTCCTCCTGTGCGATTTATTTACAACCACAGAAAACCTGCTGGAGGGCCAGCTACGAGTTAGTTAGACTCAGTGGCAATGGCTTGAGATTTTCAGATGCAAGAGACTGGAGCTGATACCTGTCAGTGCACCTCATATGCAGCCACGCCTGCTTGACAGCACTGGGTCCGTGTCACCATGAAGCTGAAGAGTAGTCCTGGGTCACAACGGGTAAGCACAGGACTGTTTACCAAATGGCAACAGTTCAGACTAACTGACTAGGAGACGGATGTCATCATCTAAGTCCATAAGGATTCCAGCCCTGGAAACCTAACAGAGCGTATCCACTCTGTCCTACAGGGTTGCCATGAGTCACCTTGATGGAAACGAGCTCAGGTTTTGTTTTAGGATGTAGAACAGGTTTCTGGGGTGCTCCCGGACTAAGATGGACTAGAGGGGAAGGCCTTACAATTTGCTTTTGCAAATTAGCCAGTAAAGCCCCTGTGGATCACTATGGTTTGACCCACACGGGATGGTGGGGTGGGATGTTTTGTTCCCTTCTGCGTGATTTCATCGTGACTCTGGCAGCCCACAGCAGCTAGCAGCAGAGCCTAGAGCAGAGAAGAGCATACTTGGCATTTAAATACTCCTCTTGGACCCATGTGCTGGGCATTGAACTATTTCCCCAGCTGCGTGTATCACCAGTGAGGCTTGTATTCAGGAGCTAAGCAAAATGAGCTAACGTCTGGAACGCTGCACCCCCAGCCCTGAGTGTCTATTTCCAGAGCACTTTTGCTTACACTGTTGGCTCCTAAAGGTCTGTCCGCCTTTACTTTAAAACTACGGTATTTTGTAGGTTAACAGAGGTAGTGGCCAGAGAGAAAGAAAAATCACTCCAAAGCCAGGCTGAGGTGAGGTGATTAATCCTGAGATAAAGGGAGTCACTAAAGGTATTGGAAACGATATTATTGTTGTTGTTGTGTGTCTTTTCAGAGGCATTAAATTGGACGGGGGTTGGGGGAAGCAGGGAGATTTGCCCATCCTTCCTGCTCCTGCTATTGAAAACAATGGTTTAAGGAAATATGCAGTATGGGCTTCCAAGGGAAAAACTAAAGAATAATAGATTAATGTAATCATGAAACCCAAGTGATGCAGTGGTTACTAACTCAACGGTCCATGGTTCTAATCCACCAACCTTCTTTTCTGGGGGGAAAAAAAAGATTTAGCAGTCTGCTTCCTTAAAGGTCATGTTGTTGTTGTTGTTGTTGTGTACTGTCGAGTTGGAACCAACTCACAGCTGACCCTCCAGTGGGCTTTCAGAGGCAGTAAATCACAAGGGAGGAGACTGTCCATCTTTCTCCTGTGAAGCAGCGGTAGATTCGAACCATGTGCCTTTGGGTTGACAGTGCAGCGCCTTACTCCTAAGCTACCACCAGAGTTCAAAAAGATCCTAGCCTTGGAAAATCTATGAAGCAATTCTCCTTTGTGTTTTACAGTTATGTGAGACACAGTCAACTCAACAGCCATGAGTTTGATTTTATTTTAATGCATTCCTCTGACCAGAAGTCCCAAGGGTCTGAACAAGGAATGATAAGAAAGAAACATAAATTTAAAACATTCTTTAACTTTTTTCAGTTGATACCACCCCTTTAATACCGCTTCTAGTGAATCCTAACAACTTGGGTAAATGTAACATTTGTGGTGTAAACTGACTTTTATTTGCTCGAGACAATCACTTCTTTTAGTCCTAGTCAACGTTTTTCTAGCTTTGGTGCTAGGCATTTTGATTGTTTTGCATAGACATGTTTCTGTATTAACGCTGTTCTTGAGATTTCTCCTGAGAACTATTTTATGTCTTAAATGGGTCTTGATGAAAAGACAACCTTATGCATAAAGCCTGGCCCGAAGCCGGCAAATAACTGCCAAGTATCCAGCTAAGCAGCCCAGCCGCCCACTCAAAACCAGAGCTGCACTTACACAGTTGGCCTTTGTAACATCTGGAGGCACGTGGGCCTTTGAAAGCCTTGCTCTTGTGGAAAGTCGTCCACCTGCTGGACAGGAGATAATAGTGAGGCCCACCCAGCCCTTCCCTGAGCCAAACCTCTCTTTCAGAACTCTGCACTCACACAGCACCCCACTGCAGATGGGAAGGTGTTCCAGTGTAATTGGGGTGAAAAACAAAGGTTTGGGTAAACCGGAAGGGAGCCAGGGTGCCTTTCCCTTCGCATAGTTCATTTTCCCTCTGGTTAGTTTGTCCTGAAAAGCATATAAGAAGTTGGATTTCCCTAGAGTTGCTGGCTCAAAGCCCCATGTGCACTCCCACCACCACCACGGACACTTGTACTCAAGAGCTGAGCAGAATGAGCTAATGCCTGGAACTCTAACCCCAGCCGCCAAGTTTCTTTATGTTTCCAGCTGTTGGCTTACAGTTATAATTTCAGCACAATAAGAGGGCCCTGCAGTAGCCTCACTTTGTAGGATCCCCTGGCAAGTTCTTAAGCATCCTGTCATTTGCCCATCTGATAGACTAAGGCCGTTTAGATCAGGAGGAAGGATTTGAAAACACCAACAATGGGATGTGGTCATTTTTTTTTCATTGAGTACAATTCACAGCTGCAAATCTTAGCCCTTTAGTGTGCAGCTTCCTAAAAGAAGTACAGCGTAGTCTTAATGTGCGTGTTAAATGCATTCCTAGAAAGTCATACTTGAAGTTATATATTGAGTCATTAACTTCTATTAAAATGACAAAGATGTTTTTCCTACTATGAAAAAAATAACTAACTCGCCAACCCCTAATAAAAAGTACTCTTTAGAGTCCTAATTTTCATTTCAAAGGACAGTCCTGCTTTCATTGATGTTCAATCTGTTAGCATTTAATTCTCTCATAAAACAGCTGTAAGCAGTTAGTCAAGTGGACAATCAAGCCACATGGTCTGGGATATTCATAAATTAAAATACATCACACAGTAAATTTCCATTTCACAGGGAGTTCTTTCAATCAGCTGTTTCCGTAAAATATTAGGTGCTTTGTGATCTGTTTATCTGAGAACGATAACTTAAAAGATGTATACTTATGAAGTGTCACAGGGTTTATTAATTCATTCAACAAAAGTCAAGACGGGGCAAAAAATTCATCATATATTGATTTAACAGAAGGACGCTCTAGTGGTGTACACTGTAGGCAGTTGCACTGTTAACACAAAGGGAGCGCCTCTGTGGGATTTGAACCCACGATGGGAGGACCATGGGCAGTCTCCTCCCTGTTCTTTACAGCTCCTGAAAACTTGATGGAGAGCCAGCAGTGAGCTGGTCCTCACAAAGTGGCAATAAGCCTGAGTGTTCAACAGAGAAGTATTGAGTTCTTAAGCGTCATGCTTCGATATTTTTCCTCTCAATCTATATTATTAGAAGTATCAGAGACTCTGTCCTGTGGATTTTATTTTTAATGATATTATGTAGATGAATACTCAAACATCTGTGTTTCTTCAACTGTCTTTCCCTTAAATCTTTATCTCCCCTCATTAATGTGCAGGTAGAGAATCTCAGCCTCACACTTCTTATTTAATCTAGAAATGGTTCTGCATTGGTATTTCAGTTTCTAATCATGTTTCCAGGTTTTTTCCTATCCCATTTTCCATTTTCCCAGTCTTGCATTTGAAATACGTTCACCAGATGAATTCTACAGATTTTTAACACGAACGTCATTTGTAAGTGTTTGCCTACTTGAAATGGACATTTTAAAGACCATAGCGGCCACGCCTTTAGTTTCACCGCCTCATTAGATTCCCCTCGTGTAGAAGTCCCACGGGTTTTTAGACAACATTAGTAATTCTATATCTACATTTTATAATAAAGGTATTAGTGCCCCCTATAAGTCAGGTCCATGCCTAGGCCTTGTCATCTGTCGATGTTTATTGACCCAAATGGACGAATTGGTAACAATGAAGCTCCAAGCCCTCCTGTCTGACTCTTTTATTGTGTTGACACAGCCTTACAGGTTTATGTGGCTAGCTTTTGTGAACTTAAATCATAGGGCACCAT